GCAGCAGAAGCGCATCTAGCAGAGGGGCAATTTTTACTAACAGAACAGACATTGAACATAATAATAATAATAAGAAGAAGAAGAAGAAGAAGAAGAACTGAACGAACATGAGTTTGATTAAATGGCAGGCAGTATATATAGATTGAGCCTGCGCAGTGCAAATTTACTGTCAAGTGTAGGGAGGTACGCGCAAAGAAAACGGGTTCTGTTTCGGATGATGGGATTCATTGGCACCTTGATTACAAGTTCTCTTAATCACAGCGCTATCGCTGATTTGCACACTTTCCAATCACCGTTGCGCACGCACTTGGATTACCAGTTTTCACTATTCGTCTCCAGGCAACGTATCTCAACACAGAAACTAGCACTTCAAGTCATTATAAAGTCTTTTTGCTATTTCGCCTTCAATCAATTTGGAATCTAGGAACTAGAAATTCTTCTGGACCTACTCCTCCAGCTTATGCCTGACTCGTAGCTGCCCTGAATTAACTCTCTCAACGTCAAAGTCACATTGCGACTGGCGGTCAGTCAGTCAATCAGTCTTGGTGTCGAGCCCCATCTGGGGCTCATGTCCAGATATTTATTACTGTTAGATAGTTACGGTCTTGTTTCTGTGGGGCGCCATCTCTGACGAGAGGACGGGTCTGTCTTTTGTATATGATGCTGGCCCTTGCCAGCGAAAATTTATGCGGGACTCAAAGCTCTTGCAAGTATCCTGTGTCCGGTCACGATAGCTCAGCTGTCTGAGGCATATACTGTCTTCGCTTGCTTGGAAGCCGGAATCGTGGGTTCGAATCCAACACAAGGCATAGACTTTTGGTATGTGTATGTGTTTGTGTTGCCCTGTGTTTAGGTAGAGGCCTTGCGTCGAGCTGATCACCCTTCCAAGGAGTCCTACCGTCTGTAAAATGATGAATATGTAAAAAAACACCTCGACACCGTAAGGTATAAGAGAAACCGATTAAGCAAAATAAAGTAAAACATCCTGTGCTTTCACGCGTTCATTAAAAGACGTCTCAGTAATTAATAGGTCTGATGGTAGATGCGTCTTTCTGCTAATTTTTTTGCTGCTGGTATAAACTAATATTTATTAATAATATCAAAATTATATTTTTTACACCGCTTATTCATTTTCAAGCACCTATGCAGATCAAGTAAGCCATTTTCACGGAAATTCTTCAGAGTCAACATATTGAATACTTAAATGTCCATTTGAGTTTCTTCCCATGCCTTCCTAAGCTAACGGATCGTAGTCGTTTGTCCATCGACTCACTGACGGAAGTTCAGTGAAATGTCACATGAATAGGGTCAGGTAGAGACGTAATAATATGAGGATGGAACAAATATCTTAACAGGGAACTCCAATATTCGTTCCAACTCATCTAATTAACTGCACGGACGGGAGTCCTTCTTGAGAAGCCAGTAGTTGCTTAGTTAGTCAAAAAAAAAAAATCCCAGCATTCACGTAATCTGAAATTTCATTACTGCGTTCTCAAGAATTCGCCAGTCAGTCCTATCCGTAGCCACGTGAATGCAGTCCATTTTCGTCTACCAAATTTATTTAAAATCTATTTTAGTATTTAGCATTATTATTCCGCCCGGTTTCTTATTTCAGTCTCATATACCAAAACTTTGTATGCATTTTCCTCTCCTCCTTAAGTCCCACACTCTCTGCTTTTCTTATTTTCGATTTAATCATTCTAGAAATATTTTTGAATTCAAATTATGGAGTTCCTAATTGTGTAATTATCTCCATTACGCTGTTGAAATATTCATCTATTATTAGGGAAATTCAATCAAGTGGATGGGATTCGAACGATGTATACCACATGTGAGGGAAATGTAAAATGCGTACAGAATTTTAGTTGGGAAACCCAAAAGAATGGGGGCCTCTTGGGGAACATAGACGTACATGAGAACATAATATTAAAATTTATGTTACTGTAATTAGGTGTTAGTTATAGACTGGATTAAAATGTATGAAGGTAACGCTGAATTAGACAGCTAGTATGAACAAGGTAATGAGTCTTCGGGTTTTCCAAAGGGCTGAAAAATTTTTCATCAGCTAAGCGACAGCTAGCATCTGAAGAAAGACAATTCCATCGAGACAAACAGAGTGCGACAGAGAGAGTCAGTCAATCAGCCATTCAGTCATTTAGAATCACTCTATTGAAAATTACTTTCTGGAAATTTTGATAGAAATATGTTACTCTTTAGAGTTTAAAAGTTGCCTGAGTTTAGATAACTTCTGGGCGGAATAGCGTAGATTGAAGTGAGAGTAGACACTGCCCGTGACGCTACGCTGCACATTGCTGTATCCACTCACCCACAACGTAGACATGATTTATTAGTTAATGACACTGTAAGTAGCTTAGACTCTACGGCGTCAAATGGTAGGAAGAGTGGCGAGTAATGAATAGAAGGAGATATCGGAGGAAGATTGTGGTCTGGTTTGACATATGATTCCGGGGTTTGCCTTCAGTGACAGAGGAAAACGCCAACGATTTCAGAATAGTTGGTGTACCTGTCGAGACTGGAATCTATTACCTCCTGATTACAGATCAGAAGCCTGAGCCAACTTGTTCAAGTGTACGGATGATCAAAGTGACATAAATGTTATATGACGTCACGGAACACAATAAGAGTAATCGATAGTCCCAGAAGCCAGGCAATTTCACAGACTGGAATGAAGTTTCGAGAATTCTATTGATGGAGCAAAGAAAATTCATTTATTCACACAATGAATAAGTCGTTCATCAAGTCCTCATCTAGTTGCTGGATGGATTAACGGTGATCCTTTCTATTGTAAATGAAGAAAGGATCACAATATCCAGTATACAATTGAATCAGATTTTACAGTCTTTGGATGCAACCTATTCTACTAGGCGTCGCCGCATCTCTGCTTGATTAAACTGGCTTCAGTAGCATGTTGCTTCATGCAGACGGACACCCAGAGGGAGGCAGGCAACAAGCAGCAGTTCATAACGAAAGAGATGGGTGTTTTATTCCAACCCCGTTTCTACATGTCACGCACACAGCACACTCCGTGTGTCATGTGACAGAAAATTAAATTTGAACACTGGTTGAGTGATGGACCGAAACAGAGGCGGAAATAAAATTTATTTTCACTGTAGTTTCCGGTATATATTTTATTTTCCTTCCGTTTCCAGGTTGAACAATTTCCGTTTATTTTACTCGTAGATACTTTCATGTTCAAATATAAACGGAACGTGACTCCCAGGCATAACTCAGACGGTTAGTCGCCGGCCTCCCACAACGGAGTCCCGCGTTCGAAACATGGTCAGGACATGTGGGATTTGTGGTGGACAAAGTGGCACTGGGGCGGGTTTCCTCTGAGTACTTCGGTTTCCCCTGTCAATTCTCATTTCACCCATTGCTGCATACTCTTCATCTATCATCAGAGGTTGGTATAATAGGCCAAAGAGTGGCCGACGTACCAAGTGGACTCAGACTCATCCAGTGAGAAAAAAAGATAAAGGTTAAAAGATAGGTAAGGTTGTCCTGTCATTAAATAGTTAAACACTACACCCTGAAGGCGTTTGGGGGAGTGGATGTATAGATCCACGTATTTTTGACCTCGGCACTAGTTAGAGGTGAATGGTTAGCTTCACGCCCCGGTCGCTTTAACCTTAGGGAAGAGCTTCGGGACCCACTGACTAGGAGGTTGGGTGAGCTCAGCTCCAATGCCTGTTCAAATGATGTGGAGAAGGAAGAATATTGCCCCTTCTAGATCTCGAACTTCGAACCCTCGTCTGTCGAGTCCGAAGCCAGTCGCTATACCGACTGTGCGCTATTCCGGCGCTAATCTCGTAGAAGTTCACTAATATTTTGGATAAGTCCACGATTTATTCTGACCGTCTTACAGTGCATACATTTATTCACCTTACTCTTCTCTCTTGCACTACACAGGATAAGCCTGTGTTCCATTTTGTGCCGTAAAGGTGGAAGTAGCGCTTTCCTTCGAAACGTTAGGAATCTTCTGTCGGACTGCAAAGAGGGCAATTAGCTTAGACCTAAATCTTCTCATTCCTTTCTGCTCTGTGTTCCCGGGGCCACAGACCGCCTTTTCTGTGGCTACAGATCCAGAGGTCCGGGTCCGATTTCCGACTCTACCAGATTTTCTGAGAAGTAGTGGGTCTGGAACGGGGTCCACTCAGCCTCGTGATAATAATTGAGGAGCTATTTCAAGGAAATAGCGGCTCCAGTCTAGAAAACCGAAATTAACGGCCGTGGGGATCCGTTGCTCTGACCACGCGACACCCTCTATCCGCTAAAGTTGGCACTAACTTCACCGAGAAGCCGCGTTCTCTCGATCGGTATAGTTCGCTTGCGGATTAAAATCACGGAGTTTGTTTTTGTTTCTTCTCTTGATGATTGCAAAGTTGTTGGCGACCCAGTATCGAGAAAAATCACTAGTAATATTGCTTGTGAGCGGTCGCATAGGGGAGGAGATCATCGGCAGAAATGGAAGTGAAATTAATTTGGAAATGCAAATTTTTCATCCTTGATATTAATTTATAATTTAGTGAAGTGTGTTATCTCTCTTGATATAAAGAAGTTTAAAGTTGAACTGATGAGGTAGTTGATGAGAGTTAAGATTGCATTTCATTGTGCTCCAGAAAACTGAATAGCTTTACAAAATAAGATTGACAACGCCTTTGACATTGTGTATGAAAATATTCTATTTTCGACAGTACTAATGAATATGAAACAATTGTCTTGCTTCCGTATACTTCATTTAATTGCATGTTCGTTATAAAATTGCAACATGATGAGAGCTTTAATATTATAACATATAAATCCTGATCAAGAATCTTTCCTGTATCCTACATAACTTCGCCAATAAGTAGCTCAGTACACGTAAGTAAACATTCTGATAGTGTTTGATGTTTTTGTAAGTAAAATGCAGATATTACGTTGTTAAGCACAGACGAAAGTGGCTATTCTTTATTCATTTCTGTACAGGGTTGTGGTATTCTAGGAAATAAGGCTACCCTTATAGTGATACAGCCAATCACAGTGGCCGCACGGTCTAAGGTATTAAATGCCTTCGTCCGCTCGAACACTGGGATGTTGGGTTCGAATCCCACTCAAAATATGGATGTCTGTTATTGTTCATTCTGTGTTTGTGTTAGGTAGCGGCCTTGCAATGGGCTGATCCCCTGTCCAAGGAGTTCTACCGACTGTGTATAGGATTAAGAAACTAAAGTGAAACGAAAGGTTTCACGGACACCCTGTGCTCCAAATTGGGATGGATGGAAGGACGGATAGATAGATAGATAGGTACATAGATAGACAGACAGACAGACAGACAGACAGACAGACAGACAGACAGATAGATAGATAGATAGATAGATAGATAGATAGATAGATAGATGAGTGGTACTGTGCTTGAACCTCATTCTATCTGGTAATTATTTAAACATATTAATATTTCTTTTTTTCAGTGGCGGCAACAGGTGAACCGAATTTATGAAACGGGCTACTCGGTGTCCCTGGTGGCACTTCTTATGTCTCTAGGAATCCTCTTCTATTTCAAGTAAGACTTCCACTGCACCAATATAAACTAACAGAATTAGTCTCCAACATAATTAATTTTGGATAGATGTTACATGTAACTTTACGTGCTCCTTTGTATGAACTATTTGCACGAAGTGTTTAGAATGTAGCCATTATTTTAGGTTATACCCTTTCCTCGAGGAGCCAAACACAGTTAAAATTATGAAGTCAAGGAGAATGAGATGAGCTGGGCTTGTAGCAGGAATGGGGGAGAATAGAAATGCATGTAGGGTGTTGGGGGGAAAGCCAGAAGCAAAGATGTCACTAGGAAACCAAGACGTTTGTGGGTGAACGCTGTTAAAATGGATCTTAGAGAGAGAGGATGGGGTGGTATGGATTGGATTGATCTGACTCAGGATAGGGATCACGGTAATGAAACTTCGGGTTTCGTAAAGTTCTGGGAAGTTTTTGAGTAGCTGCAGAATTTGTGGGTTCTCAAAAAGGGCTCACCTTCTTGAGGTTAGTTTGTTATATCCGTTCGTCAGCTTGCAGCTTCAAAACTGTCGTTACTCAACGATTTTATACCAAACACAGCTGGGCATACTCATTTTATGTCATTTATTTCAATTAATTTACTGTTTCTTGGTTTACATGAGTAAGACTTTTCAACGAATAGGCAAAATGACTTTGAAATATGATGTAAACGATTGAATTCAAAAGGGGAAACAAATAATGGTTACTGTTTCGAGGGAGCTGTATAGATTAAAAAGAATATGAAAGCCTGCCAGGTAGCTTATTTTAGAAAAATTTTCGAACCCGAGATCTCCCGAACATGATGCAGAATTACTGTCCCCTCTATGCCAAGTTCAGGTGAACCATAACAATCCACTGCAAGCCTTTCTTTATATGAAGCTCAAATAGACACTGGCCGAATTTACCACCACAGGTAAACGGTTTCACAGCATCGGACCACTAATTCTACTGCAAATATAATTTTTAGACACAAGAAGGCCTAAGGGACAGGACTGGATATTTCCTTAGTCGTCGCTAGAATTTAAAGGGCGCACTGTGAAAAAGGCTTTGTGTCACTAGAGTAGGCTTTAAGAGAACAACAAACAATAAGTAAAAATTAAAATTAAGTTAAATTCACACAAGAGTATTGCTCCAGTTTCACTGTAACTGTGCAACCAATCCCTTGAAGTCCACAGAGTTCCACTACCACGTTGGGAGATTTTGTTTATGTAGGAAACAATGCAAACCAAATTTCAGACACAGCTGGAGGCATCCGATTCATGCACTGTGCCCTTCATTTGTTTCTTTCGTGCAGTGCGCTGTTTCATCTGTTGCTATGTATGTGAGCAGTAGATCTAAAACCCGCAATGAAATGGAGATGAAGACAAAGGAGAGGTGTAAAATTGTTCATAAAATTCTTGAGAATAAATACACTCCAGATTAGGTGTCGTCAGTTGTTAATTTAAGCTTGTTCTTCCAAGGTACAGCGCGTCCTCAGGCTGCCTATGGTGGATTCGGCCTTCAGATATGGAGGACAGCTATAAATAGGTCTTTATTGAATAAACATTCTCAAAGAATGGACAAGGTATGGTCCTCTAGGTTTGGGATTCGGCAGAACCTAACAAACTGACAGTGTAAAAAAAAGGGAGCTGAAAATTTAGACCTCAGATTGGAGGGATTTTGTGAACCCGTTACTGGAAATTCTTATTCCATTAGAGACGTGGGATATTTTGTGATATCTGAGAGACTGTTGTACATATATAAAGATAGCTGAAAGATCCTTTGAAAAAGTGGTGAAGTTAAAATATTTTGGCAGCGGCAGTAACAGATCAAAATTTGGTTCATGAAAAAAATTGCTTGCAAACTGCTTCATGCGTATTTCTCTCTTGCCTTAACCTTCGACCCTGAAAATAGAGGAAACACGTTCCTCCGAAGCGTGGGTTGATTTTCAACGCACTACATATGGTTATATCTCAGATGGTAGGATTCTTCCTGAAAATGTGTTTGTCCTTTTAAGAAGTGCCTTTCATTAATTGATAGAGCCATCAGTAGTAGTCACGATTAAAAATCAGTTCAGGAAGATCTCTTCAGACATTAAAAACTAATCTATTCTTCCTCGAGTCTCCACGCTTTTCTCAATCCGTTCTTCAAGCTTAATCATAATGTCACGTGTATTAGTGACTTACAAGGGGTTTGGATTTGTGAATAGATTTATTTGCCACTTACAGATCGTAACTACAAATAACTGGGGCACGCGGTAGCGTAGTTGGTTGAGGCACTATGCTACAAGCCGGAAGGTCGCGGGATCGAATTCCAATGAGGTCATTGAATTCTTTTAATTTACCTAATCCTTCCAGCCGCACTATGGTCCTGGGGTCGACTCGGCCTCTAACAGAAATAAGTACCAGGAATATTCTTTGAATATTTTTGGGGGTAAAGAGCGGCCGGCGCGTAGGGCTGACAACTCTACCGACATCTATGAGCCGATTGTTTAGAAAATGTGGGAACCTCAACATCTCACAACACTATGGGCCTCCAAGGCCTGTTACAGGGATATCTTTACTTTTTTTAACTACAAATACCTATAACACTATTGCTGATTTCCACACTACAAATCACTTCAGGCTGACTCCTCAGTCTGCTTTCACTAGTCGTTTCTTGGTAACACTTCTCAAAAATTTACATTCTTCTGCTCTGTTTTCGCTAGAAGTTTACCAATAACGGATCTTAACAATGAAGATTCACCAGCTTCTGTGTTCAGGTCGTTACTCTCCGGGGAACATTCCGCAACTGAACTGTAGCGCCAGTTATCTTCAAGATAACTCCTCTGCACGGACCACGCAGAAAGCACAGCCCCTTTATTGTTACAGAGGTGTGTTTACCGTACCCTTTCATAGCAACGGTCGCGGAGCGGACACCACAGAAAACACCGCTGTTGTACTGTCGCTTGCGTGTGTGTTGCGGGTGTTACCTAGCAACGACCGCTCTTTACTCAGTTATTTTTTAGCAACCAGTCTATAGGCTACAGTAACATTGTCACGTTTTTAATTCTGGCTGCCCTGTTTGGCCGTTTTAGTTTTATTTAAATCTGTTAATGGTGAAGAGCCTTACAAAATCTACCTGGATAACTCTCCGAAGCTCAGTTCTTCTTGAAAGATTAGCAGACGCTCAGACGTTTAGCTGCTTGCCTTATAGGCAAATGAACACAGGAATTTTGAACGTGTCGCTGTACAACCTGTTTCACATACATAACATTCCAAGCATTCTTAACCAAAGCGTTGTCCTTGTTATTATAATCTCGAGCATGCGCATTGTATTTGAGTGGTTTGTGAGATTTCATTTCCCCGTATTTTAATCCACCTGAATAAAATTTACAACAAAAATCAATTCCTAACGAGGTCACTGCATCACGACTTTTTCTTAAACGGCATTCTGAAATATTCAGTCAAATTGATTTACGGACATAACTTTCTTTTAATAACAATGAAATTTAATTTGAATTCAATCGTATTAATGTAGATTAGACTGTAGATTAGATTTAAATCCAAGTAAATTTCCCTGAATATCTAGAAAAATTAGAATAAAACATTTGCTGGAGGATGAAAAATCTTATATTACAACAGATACATAGATGACATCTTCATAATATATAATCAAACAAAAATAACACCCCAAAGCCTATTCGAAAAATTCGTGCACAACTAAAAGACCTACAATTCATAATACATGAGGAAGTAAACAACAAAATAGCTTAGTTGGGTTCAAATCTAATTAATAAACAAGGAGAAATAGAAATGGAAATATACAAAACCCTACAACGATAGATATAACAATAAATAATATCTCATACCACCCCAAAGAACAAAAATTATCAGCATATAAAAACTGGTTAGGCAGACTTTTCACATTACCCCTTAAAGAAAACATCAAAAATAAAGTATTAAACACTATTATAAATATAGCACTAACTAATGGTTATAGGAAGGAAGACATCTTACATTCATACGAGTATAACAAATTCAAACACTGGGAAAATAATCTGGAAAATAAAGCCGAAAAAGAACAAGATGGCTCACATTTACCTACACAGTAAATTATAGACGAAAAATCACAAAACTATTCAAAAACACAAATATAAATAGCCTTCAAAACAACTTCCATCATAGGTAAATTATTAAATGGAACGCTGGAAACAAACCCATACGAACAAAGTTGGATATACTAAATAACCTGCCAAAGCCGTCATAAAGTGTACATTAGCCAAACTGGTAGAAACCTAACAACAAAATATAAGGAAGATATAAGAAACATAAGATTTAACAAAGACCAATAGCCATTCGCCCAACATATACTAAATAAACGCCACCGGTATGGACCTATCATGGAAATGGTTGATGAGGAACCCCATGAATATAAAAGAAAACTTCCACATAGATCACTTTAATAAACTTAATAAATTGATAGAAAAGCGAAAACTTAGAAAAGAGAGCGAGAAAATGAATAGTATATTCGACATCATGATCAAACACAAGTACACACCCACACAAACGTCATGAGGCACAGGGGGTATAAATATGAAATTCAACATACTGTCACGTGTAGGGTGGTACGCGTGACGAAATGACGGGTTCTAGTTCGGATGGTTGGATTTGTTAGCAGCTTGGTTACTCACAGTCTCTTATTTATACTCAAATTACAGCGCTATTGCTGAGTTACATACACCTCATAATTCACTGTTGCACGCACACTACAATTCCCAGTCTTGACAGATCTCAACACAGAAAATATAACAGTCTCCCAGTATTACTCATAAACGCAGTCTTCAACTCGCACTTTCAATCTTCACAGGTCTTCCACGCACTTACTGTTGCTTAAACACCCAAACACTATCAAATACTCCGAAACACACTCTAAACGGTTTCAAAGTCAAAGTCACATTGCGACTGACGGTCAGTCAGTCTGTCTGTCTTTGTGTCGAGCACCGACTGGGGCTCATGACCGGATTTTTTTTTCTTTATATGAAATTTA